AAATGAGGGTTGTATCAAAGTAGCAATGAGAAATGATCTCTGGGATAGCATTAAAGAACTGGTACATATGCCAAGACAGTTCCTTCCACCAATTAGTGGCAACTGGTGGCTCTAGTTTTAGTGAATGAATCAACTCAGGCTTTTAGTGGGAACTCTTAAGGAACTACCAAGAGGCTTAACCTGTTTGAGAGCTAGGCTTCAGAAGCTTGATTTGCTCCTTTAAAACCCAGAGTAGATGCATTGTCTCACAGTGTTTTTGCTGTAGGAAACAGCATGACCAGCAGTAACCCTGGTCCAACTGGCAGGAGAATGAGAGGCTGTGTGTGTATGTGGTGCTGGTGGGGGCAACTGGTGCTCTCTGTGGGATCTGATGTTAAGAAAGTGGTTGCTGTTGCATAGTCTCAAGTAGAGTAGACCCACTGAATCAATGGTTGAATGATGAACCAACACATAGGTACATTGATTGATTCTGTAGTTCTACTCTAGTTGAGCATAACAATAGGGTTTAGGACAATGTCTGTTTAGGATTTAGGGCAATGCCAGCATGGTATAATGGTTTGAGGGCTGGAATAGGACTTTGAGGACCATGAAAATCCACTGTTGGGTGAGTCATACTGTTTCAGCCACAGAGGTTGCCATAAGTTGGAAATGACTTTTTTTTATCCATTGGATATGTTGAACTATTTTATCCATTGGATATGTTGACTGAAGACTCACAAATATATGCATAAGGTGTGCAGGCCAAGGATTTCCTTAATAGAATAAATGAATAAAAATTGCTCATGGACCTTAATATTCAAGATCTTTCATCTCCTAGGTCCTTATAGCAGTCTGATAAAATAGTGAGACTGACATACCTCCCACAAGATGCTGTGGTGTCAGAGCAAATTGGAGAATGTCAGTTCAGGTGGAGAGGTTCAGAGGCCACTATATATGTGGAAAGATTAAAGGATTAGAGGGCAGGGTGCTTGGGAGGAAGGTTTGATGGTACACATGGCATGTTGTACGGATGGATCCCTTGTTTTTGTTAGGTAAAGATCCTAAAATTTACAGTATTTCAGTGCATAATGAAAGCAAAAATAATCTTACAGAGAAATCATCATGAATGCTAACAGCTAGGCATTGCACCGAGACTATCAAATTAAAAGTTATTCTCACCTTCTTATACACTGTAAACCCCCTTCTTTAGGCTGTCTTTAATTTACCTCACAAGTATCATGATGAGAACAATTTTTGTTCATGATATACTAGGATTACAGATTCAGACTCTCTAATCCAGTGGGATGCACAAATAGCATTTCTACCATTTTTCTTTACTTTATCTCTGCAACAGTGGCTCCAAACTTTTTGTTTAATCAATCCTTTTTGTGATCTAAGGAAAAAGGATGCTACAGCAGGATGATATTGCAACATAAAATCTATAATCCCTGTCCATCCCGCCCCTACTGTCTTGAGGGAAGGAAGGTCAGACCTGACCTTGAATACTGTGTCCAGTTCTGGGCACTATAATTTAAGATGGATGTGGACAACCTGGAGCATGTCCAGAGGAGGGCAACCATAATGGTGAAAGGTCTGAAAACCATGCCCTATGAGGAGCGACTGAGGGAGCTGGGTATGTCTATCCTGGAGAAGAGAAGGTTTAGAGGTCATATGATAGCCCTGTTTAAACATTTGAAGGGATGCCATATTGAGGATGGAGTAAGCTTGTTTTCTGATGCTCCAAAGACTAGGACATGGAGCAGTGGATTCAAACAACAAGAAGAGATTCCACCTAAATAATGGGAAGATCTTTTACACTTTCTCAGAATGTATTGGAGTCTCCTTCTTTGGAGGTTTTTAAATAGAGAATGGGTGGCTTTCTATTCAGAGTTGGACTGGATGGCCCTTGTGGTCTTGTCCATTCTATGAGTCACTGCTTGATTGAGCACTGATTCTGGTTCATGTTTAGAGATGCCTTCATGGGACCATTTGAGTATATGCTTTTGCTGGAAAAAGAGGATACAGAATCTTAATTCTCCAGCAGAATTGTGAGGCAAAGAATGTCTTTTCCAATGAGAGGGTTGCATCCATCTTGGAAATTCCGGCTTCTGAAAGATTAGCTAGATCCTCACACTACTACTGTGCTATTCCACTTTAACTGCTCTGGCTGATTCCTGTTGCATTCTGGGATTTTGAGTTTAAGAAGGGGGATGTAAAACTCTCAGCCAGAGAGCTTTTAGGCCTCACTGAACTACAAGTCTTGGAATGAGCAGTAAAAGTGGAATAGCAGCACCATAAGAGTATAGTGTGGTAATGTGGTAGGAAAAAGCATGCCATATTGGTATTATGGGGCCAATAAAAGGGAGGCTGCCACTTACATGAAGGCAGTGAAGGCTAGTGACTCCCATGTAAGTAGAGTGGTAAATTTGCTCCAGGTTTTTTGCCGGAACTCTAAAGAAATTCTAAAATCCTTTGGTCTAAACACCAAAGAAGCTATTTGGGGTTCTGAATCCTATCTTTAAAATATGTTCAGAACTTTGGACAGTTCCTTTGCAGGCCTGGTGATCCTCAGAATTCTTGATTTCATAAAATGCCTGACTGTATTAGACCATGGTCATATAAAATGGCAGTGATATGAATCAACAATATTTGACTGATTAACTTGAATAATTTGATTGTTGCATGTCCTGTTTGTGGTATTGTTGATCTTTTTCATTTTTAATTGTTATTTGTGTTTATGTCATTTTTGTTGTTATGTGTACATGATAGATAGAAGAATTCAACTGTTGCAAATATCTGCATGAAATAATCAGTCTGCACCCCTCAGACTAACATCAGATCAGAGCTTAAATTTCCTGCCATAATCATATTTCTCTAAAAGTTGTGATATGCTTCTCATCAGTTTAGATATGTCATAAATAGAATTCATTTTTTATTTTGAGAGTATACAAAAAGTGATAAACACACACACATTGCAATGCATCTTTCAATAGCTGAGATCCTTAATTGAGGAGATCAAATATAATTTTATACTCATGGAGTTATGCAGCATTGTGCAATGTCATCTTGTTAGTGAATTATAACATCGTGTAACTAAATGTATAACTACATGCACATCCATGTGCAATATACAATGTGAATCTGCACGTGGAAATATACAGTGTGTATGCACAATGACACTGTATGCAGAATTTTAGTTCTACAACCTTGACAATAATGCTGATGGACAACCTCTTCCATATGGGAAGACACACATGCATTAGAACCTAAGAGGAACCTGATCATTAAGTATTTTGAACTTTTTAAAGAAAAGAAATGGAATGGAATTATAGATGAGACCATTCCCAAGCAATACCAACTGGAAACAGATAGACTTGCACATCAAGTCACTGCATGGTGGACCTTCTTGCCATTTTTACAACCGTTCTAACTTTGCTTCACTTGGGAAACAATATTGGCTCATATATTTTCTTGCTGTGTGAATAGAATGGAAATTCCCAACTAATCCTATTTTAGCACATATCACCTCATCGCCTACTGACTTAATGAAGTGCAGCTTTCTCTTGCAGCAATATAGATGCTGTTGCCTGTGAATCTAATTCAATGTCTCACACCATGCAAGGTTGATGGTGCTGCCTTTGTTATTCAGCTAGCTGACTTGGCTGTCACATCAGGGAAACTCTTCAATAACTGCTCACATAGATTGGAGTCACCCTGAGCCACTGAATAAGAAATCACCCACATAATGCTACTGAGACACTAACAGCATCCAAGTCTGTGCAAGAGAAATTAAATATCCTATGGGCCTAAACAATGAAATTGTGGTGAGTGCGGGGAGGGGGGGGGGAGCAAAAAAGAAATCAACTTGTCTGGGAGAAGAAAAGAAAACATTTCCAAAACTGATGTATTTACTAGCCAAGGGAAATGGCACCCAAAGCTGATGTTGCCTTTCTTCAACCATCTCCCTGCCTCAGTACCTTGCTTTGGTGCTACTAAACAGAATCAAGAGGCAGGCAAGAATAACAAAGCAAACAGAGGTACCCCCCAACACACACACACACACATACACAGAGCACTCAGATACTAATATATACCACAAAGGAGCAGAGAGGGGAGTGCAGTGAGCTTGAAATCATGGTTTGTTGTGGTGACAACACGTACCATGGTGAGTCTAATGCAGAGGTGGAGCCTCACTTAAACTGAGATGTACACCAGTTTATCCAGCCCTTAGTGTGTAAGACTATGATGGAAAGCATGTACATATCTTTGTGTTTCTCACCACTGTGAGGAAACTGTGAATGTCACAACCATACCACATTCCCTCCCTCTAATTTTAAACAAGTAGTACAACTAATCTGGATGTATGAAACAGCATGACTCACTAGAAAAGATGATAGTGCTTGGAAAAGATGAAGGCAATAGGAAAGAGGGAGACTGCATTACATGTAGGTTAATGCAATCAAGAATGCTACATCCCTGAATTTACAAGACATAAACAGGGCTGTTGATGACTGGGGTTCTTGAACGCCTCTTATTTATTTATTGTTGTTAACTGCCTTCGTGTTGGTCTTGACCCATGGCAACCCTATGGATAAGATATCTCCAG